GCCGCCGCCGCCCGCGGCGAAGCCGAAGCGCACGGGCGCGAGCAGCGCGTGCGCGACGCGCGCCGACACCGCGTCCGTGTAGCACGACGCCTGCACCCCGTCGACAACCAGCGCCCCGCTCGCCGTCGCGGGCGCGTACATCCCGCTGCGCACCCGCCCGCGCGCGCCCACCACCGTGGCACGCGCCCCGCTGCCCGTCACCAGCGCGTCGCCGACGCGCACGAGCCGCGCGGCTACTAGCCCGCCCGATGCCGTCCGCAACAGGTGGTTGCCGCTCACCTCGAGCGTGCGCGCCGCGGAGGGCCCCGTTCCTGTCACCCACGTTAGCGCCCGGTACCGCGCGTACCGCCCGCTCCGGTGCCCGAAGAATATTACCGCGCTCGCCGTCGGGGCCCCGTTGCCGCCGTCGCCGTCCACTACTACGTCCCCGTGCTGCAGGTCGCGCATCCGCGTCGTTTGTAGCGACCCGTCGCCTTGCACTACTGATACCGTCGCCCCGCCCGGGAAGCACGCGTCCTTGACGTTGATGTTCACAGACGAATTCCCGCGCGGGCAAAACAGCGGCTCTGTTGATACGTCGCACTTGCATCCTTGCGACACGCAGCTCACCGTGCAGCACTCGTCGTTTATCCGCTCTTGCGTGAACACCGCCTTGTTCAGGTTCACATTCGTCTTTGCTACGCTGAAATTCACCAGCCGTATCGCCTCGCCGAATAACGTGTCGGCAAATGTCGCCTTTGTAGTCGCCATCTTCTCTATTATCTTCCCGCGCACTTCCGCCTCGCACAACGCAAATTCGCTGCTCGTTTCGTTTGATAGCGACCCCACGTTGACCACCACCAGCTTCTCGATCTCCGACCGGCACAGGTTCACTTTGTTGCCAACTCTCACATCTTGTATGTGCAGGCCGCTAAACTTGGTCTCATCGCAGTACATCCCGTCTGACACCGACACATTTCGAATAAACGTGTCCTCAAACTCACACTTTCTCTTCGCCTCCCGCCCTGCAATCGCTTCCTCATGGCACGCCAAAGCCCCAATCTCAGAATCCTCTACTTCAAACTTGGATATAGACGCATCCTGAAACCTGATTGTCCCCTCGCTACTACAATTGTAAAACCTTACCCCATCTCCGCTCACCTGCGAGAAAGTAATCGATCCCGCTCCAGATTGCTCTACCCTCCCATTCGAAGACCACGAAAAAAATCGCGATCCGTTCACCAAAAAGTTTCGAAGAAAACCAAGCGACGCCACGGTATCACTTTCAAACGTGCAGTTGCGAAACTCCGAGTTTTCCAATGAAAACCTCTCAAACAACACCATCGCGTCCCTGTGAAAAATGCACCCATCAAACAAAACTCTCTGCATTGAGCTGTGCCTGAATGCCATCACGCTTTCCTCCCCATTCCCCCCAAATTCGCACTCTTTAAACCTTACCATTTCCCAACGCGTCCCGTTGAAATCTACATCCCTGTCACGATTCTTCTGAAACTTGCAAGATGTAAACGTCGTGTTCTTCACCACCGAGTTTCGGATAGACCACGCATGCGTCTCCTCTTTGAATTCATGGTTCTTGATGCAAACATTCGGATATACCCCAATTTTCCATAGATCTCCAATATCTGCTGGGCCCAAGCAGTGCTTGAAAAGAATCTCACTATCGCACATCCTCAACAGAGTTGATAACACCAAGACCAGCAGCACAACGCCGACCTCTGAACACGAAAATAAGCGACAACACAACATACTTACTTGCCACCTTATCCTCAGCAGAAAAAAAGAAAAGCGTTGAAAAGTTCAAAGCAGTATACACGCGGTCCGTCACAATTTTGCTATGCTGTTGTCCTTCAGTCGTTTACGAGTTTTGTTCAGATTGTCAAAAAGAGATTCTTCAACATGGCAAGAGATGAAACCATGACTGCGGCTCACTCCACGGTTCAAGAGATCCAAATTCACGTACTGTGCAAGCGAAATGAAAAAAGACATGCACGACTTTTCTCTTGCTCTCATGGTACCATTTGCTTACGGCGCGCCTTTTCATCTAGTCTAAGAGCAAAAAAAAAGGCTTGAAGCAATGCCCAGGGCAGCATGACAGCTCCACCAAGTTATGCCAAGCTGGAAGCTGGCCATGTTAAGCAACATCATGGATATTGAGCGCCCTGTGCATTTGGTCCGAAGCCTTGTAGTAAAGCCACGAAACGGGACCGACCGAAAAGAAAAGAATCTTCTTCAGGAAGTGAGTATCAAAAGGGTAATCCCCCCCCCCCCCCCCCCCCCCC